TTACTCTTCTGTGTGACTAACGTGTATCTGCGTTGTGCCTTCATGCCTTACATTTTATGATGGTTAGTACTCAAACAAGCATTCACGTTAGCCTTCTAGTACTTTAAAAAAAAAGACACGTTTTTCCAGACCACACTCAGAGAGAGCTTGGATGCGTGTTGTGAGCACTCGTGCCTGTGAGGCCAAACGTCTGCCTTCATGCACAGAAGACTTGGCTTAACACACAGCCACTGTTCAGACAGACGGACAAACCCATCCTCGGGGACTTCGGCTGACTGGCACAGGTCACACTGAAGGAAAAATACGTACTGACATGCGTGTCTTCCACAGTTCACGATAAAGAAGCCCACTGAACTCGCTTCTCAGAAAAGGCTGCTACGGGGCACCGTACAGGGCATGCTCCTTCCCAGTATGAGAGAGGAAAAAGGCAAGTTACGTTTATGGCTCATCTGACAGTTGCAATTGTCTCTCCCCACGACGGCAAGGGCTCCCCGATGACTCCTCCAAACCTGCATTAAGCTGCCCTAGCTGGGTCAGGGGGTGTTAACAGCTGAGCTTGTCATCATGCATGTGGCTCACGGCATAACCTCCTTCTTATTAAAAACTAAAGCCAATCTGTGTGAAATAGACGGTAAATTGCACCGACACGTAAGACCTGAGCGGTTTGCATGTGTGATCATTTCTTGCAAATAGTGTCACACAGCTGTTCCCTAACTGGATCTGTCCTGTCTTACTCTATTTCAGGACTCATTCCTGCCCTTGTCAAACACAGGCTTCTCATAAGCCCCCTAAATTAACACAAATCCTCAAAAAGCCTCTGGGGTACAGCTCGGAAGTCTGCTCACGTCTCATCTTATATACAGTGAGGGCTGGAAGGACAGAGGTTTGAGGGACTGACCCTTAGCCCGGTGAGAGGCTCAGTACTTGGCTTCCTGTCACCTAACCCTGAGTGAGCTGGGCCCAGAGCCTCGTCTCACTGCCACCGTGGAAACAAAGCATGGGAGATGCCTCGCCAACACCAGGACACGGAAAATGAGAAGGCTGAGCCACGTCTGTCCCTTCAGAGCAGCCACCTGTCAATCATTGGTGATCAAAGCACCGGGGGAAGATTTATACTTACTACTTAATGCTCACCAAGGCAAAACGTTCAAAGGTTCAAAGCCAGGGGGAAAGGGTGGAAGGGACCTCAGATGAGACTGACGCCGTGTGTCACATAGTTAAGCACACTCAGGAGCTCTTCTGAGAAGATACGGAGACCCAGCACTGCACTCAGTCTTCAGTTAACGCCGTTCGCAGGAGCAGCAAACTCTGACCCAGTGTAAGGGATGCCACCCTGCAGCTGCTCAGCTGACCTGGGGGACAGCAGTCATGTCGGCACTCACATACACCTCCCAGGGAACACACACGCGTGTGCACAGAGGTGTGTGCCTCCCCACCAGGCAGCAGCAAAGCAGAAAGGGCAAGGTGTGCAGTAGTTAATAAACCCGTCCACCTATCAAGTCACGGAATTCCTCACTGGGGCTCCATAGTGCCAGCCATCTCTCCTACCGGTGCCCATTCTGACAATTTCCTACCAATTCTGGCAATTTCTCTTGTCAAGGGGTACAAGAGCTTCACCTGTAGACTATAAATACCTTTCCTCACGGCATAGGCCAGATTCATTCCAATGAGCTGATGAGAAACCAGGAATGCGTGCCCCAGTGAAAAAAATAAGACCAGACAATCCGGCCCCATGGAGACTTGTGAAGGAACACTCGATGCCAGTAAGCTTCCTGGCATGGCGCTGTGACAACTCTGCTTCTGCGGCACAGGGAGCCGGCCGGCCAACACTCAAAGCACCTCGATGTTCCCACTCCTTCCTTCTCTCTCACCAGACGTGTTTCCAGAAGCCCCTGTGCAGGCGGTCGGGTATTCATGGACCCCCAGTCCACAGCAGCCATCAAACTCAACTTCCAATGGCAGCCAGTGCCTCTCCTAAGCCTCGCAGAACTTGGGAACCAAAAATATTTAAAGTTGAGGCTATAGGTGCCCTAGTTTTATTAGGTTCAAAATTCTTACCAAAGAAAAACAAACATGTACTTGACCTAAGGGACCCTCCCACTGAGCAGTGACATTGAGAGGACAGGTTCCCACCTATGAAGAAGTGAAGCAGCAGCTTCCCCGATAAAAAGGGAAAGTCCGTGATGTCAGCCAAGAGACTGGGGGGCGCCTGCGTGTTATCCCCTTCGGGAACGACGGCTCTCCTCCAAGCAGCCCGTGCGTCCAACCAGCCCCGTCTCCACCCTCATCAGTGGATGTGGCACCAGGAGCGGGAACGGATTTAACATTTGCCCGGTAAAAACAACTGAGAAGCAAAATGCAGGGTGGCCCCTCCCAAAAATCCAACTTGTATGTTAAACATACTGTTTCTGATCATTTGCTAAGAATGCCTTCCAGCTTAAGCAGCTTCAACTGTTTGATTTATTTTTCTGAGTTACTCAATTCTTTTAAATTTGTTTTAATGAACAGGGATACAGACGGTTTCTATTTCCAGGCGTTTCTATTGCCTGGTGACTGTAAGGGAATACTTCCAGGCTGCTGCCCTGTCAAAAGGATGAAAGGATACAGCCGTCAGACTCAGTGACTCTTCGTTAGGGAACCTGACTGCCGAGTGCCAGGCTGCACAGTGGCAGCTTTTATCAAGTGCCTCACACGTGACACAGCACAATCTGATAGTCACTTGTTACCTGCAAATTTAAATGCACTAAGAGGAGATACGCTTTCAAATTCCGTTCCTCAGGGCCACCAGCCACCTGTGCCTGGTGACCTGTACTAGGCGTCACAGACATGGGAGGCTGCCGTCCCGCAGACAGTTCTGGGCAGTGCCACCCTGGAGGGCAGGACCCGATTCCAGGTTGAGTCTAGAAGACGAAAGTCCGCATGTTTAAAAAGCTCCTGCTGAAGTTGCACACACAAATTACAGTTTCGTAAATCTGCTATAAACAATACTCTTCCATCACATGCAACTTAGTGGATTATCACAGTGTTTGAAGTGTGGGCTTAAGGGCAAAATGCAAAAGCACGTGAAACAAACGGCAGAAATGGAAGGTTCTTCTTATGGAATGTAAACGGTCCTCCAAGGAAACTGGCTCCAGAGACGGAAGCAGGAGCCGGCATAAGCGAGTGCTCCGATGCTGCGCCTCGACGCGGCAACCTGATCACGTGAGAAGCTGAGCCCGAGTGCCCTCTCTGCCTGTGCGTCCCTCAGGGTCTGCATGGGTGAGTGGCTTCCAACAGTGGCCCTGGCTGTACATCAGCTGTATGGCCCACTAACAGAGGGCCTCTAAACACGCTAAATGGTGTCCACCATGGTCCCAGCACAGCCACTGTTACAGCCTGGCACAGTCCAGGAAAAGCTGGACAATGAAAGGGCTCATTCACATCACAGTTTTCAAGTGAATTAACGTCCAGATTTCAAATGCAGACTTTACTGTATTTTAAACCTACAATCCAGGACCACAGAGGTGGACATGGCCTGCTTTTTGGATTGAACTGAAATAGACGATTCGCTCAAAAAATCAAGTCAGAAAACCATTCTGCTCTATTTTATGAAGACAAAAAGGGGCCCTTCTAAAGAAGACCAAAATGCCTATCAAAGTTCTACCACGAAAGTGCTGAACAAATATTTCTACATGTGGTCAATGAAATGGCAAATTCATGGCATAAACAGTCAGAAATTGGTTCCTTAGGGCATTCTGTAATTGATTTGGTTAGACAATTCATATAACACTTTAATTAACTGTAAACTAGATTTGTAGATTATTTAAGTAATATAAAAATTCTAAAAGATTATGACTAACAAACTCAAGGTTTTGAAGCAATCTCAAAGGGAGACAAACAAACTGTGCTCCAGTGAGCACGCACTTCCTCCACTAACGCTGGCCTCTAAGATTGTGTGGCTGACGCCGTACAAACAGTATCTTCCCCACATCACAACTTTCCCAATCTAGGCCTGAGCTGAACATTTCAGCATGCTTTAGGAAATTCAAGCATCTTCAGGAGCAACTCAAGATTTACAGAAGAAACCTGATCAAAAGAGGGGGCCTGTAGAACAGAACTGCAAACTCTCTGGACGCTAGACTTTCGAGAGCCATGGAGGGTGGATGAAGCCCTGAAACTATTGCCCTAAGATAATCTTTAAATCTTAAATCAAAAGTACCCCTAAAATCTTCTTAAAATCAAACAACAGTTTAGCTTAATTAGTTTAAAAAAAAAAAGTCTGCTTTGAGTATTGTTGTTGTTATGTGCTGTCGAGTCAGACCCGACTCATAGCAACCCCTCCTTGGGTTTCCAAAGCAGTATCACTACAGAAGTAGATTGCCCCATCTTCCTTCCGAGGAGTGGCTAGTGGGTTTGAACCGTTAGCCTTCTGGTTAGCAGTCAAGTGCCTTAGGCACTATGCTACCAGAGCTCCCGCTTTGAGTATTATGCTCATTTAATTAAGAACTATCTACACGGAATCAAACTGACAACAGCAACTGGAAATATTAGATGGGAGCCTTAGGGGACTGTGCCTGCCGTTAATGAGGGTGGAACAACTTAGAAAGGAGGGTGGCAGTGGTGGCCCAACTAGAGGGATGGCATCGGTGCAATTGACCTGCTGGTGGAGGAACTGCACGGGGGAGCGGGGTACTCTCAACAGAATCAGTAAAATTTACGGGAAAAAGGGGCTACTAAAGAGTCAACCAACACTACCTCGTGTCTGGATACCAACCTGGGGACACTTGTACTAACGGACTAATTAATACATAAGTGGAAACAGGGATGGACTTAGAATGCAAACAATAAGCCAAGCGGTGCCGCTTGACTCAAATAACGGCAACGTATTTGATATTTTATCGATGCCAGTTAAGTACTTAAAACCTCCGCCCTGACCCCCACCCCTCAGGGAAGGGGTCCTGAGTGGCACAAGGCCCCGCCCCGGCCCGCCCTGGCCCCGCCCCGCCCCCATCTGGACTCACCATCTGCAGGATGGCGCCGTAGAGGCGAAGCAGCACCTTCCGGGGCTCGTCGGCCACGGCCTCCGTGGTGTCGGGCAAGGAGCACTGGAACAGCATGTTGCTGAGGCCGCCTCTGTCACAAGCAAGAGGGCAGTGAGTGTGTCTCCGTGCTGGGAGTGAGCGCCGGCACTGTCCCCGGGGAGTCGGGCCACCCACGCCTGTTGCCATCTCAGCCTTGGTTTGGTCTCTGCGAAGACTTGGGCCATAAATGGTTCTGCTCCGAGTTTTCAGATCAACGCCGCGCGACCCGTGAAAAGCCGGGAGATACCCGTTCTGTGCAGATTGGAGCTGCTCGCCTACCGCCGCGGGCCACTGGGGGTCGCCAGGAACGCCCCGAGCAGAGACCAGAACCGCCGCACCCCGCCCATCTTCTAGAACCCCAAGTCCCCAGCGTCACTCCGTAATGACAGGCGAAACTCCGGGTGGTGCTGAACCTTCCCCTTCCCGCCTCCCGCTTGCAGGGTGGCTTCCAACCAACGGGAACTGACGGCCTGTTCCTAAAGCCCGGAACGTTCACTGATTCAGCCTAAACCTTCAACTGCGGCTCCCCAGGACAAGAAAGGAGCCCACCGAACCCCCTTCAGGCCTGGAACTGAACTCACAGCCGCGGCTCAACCTGCAGCCAAACGGAGGCCAGTGAACAGTGACACCAGGGAGGTGTCGCTTCTCCGAGCTCCAAAGCGCACTCTGCCCAGGGATATAGCTCAGAGGGCAGCAAGGGACAGGAGAGGCGAGGAAGGGCCACCGTAACCAGGGCAGCAAGCGGGGAGCTGTTACACCTGGGGACCGCCATCCGCGCCACCAAGCACACGCATGCCGACTGCTACACGGAAAACCTTCACCCAAATCCCAAGTACACAGAGATCTGGCACATGGAGAAAGCAGACACAGAACTGGAAACCAGTCACAGGCCGGGCTCGGAGGCTACCGCTGCGGCCCTGGGGCCAGTTCCGGCTCCTGGCCCCCCTGACGGAGCAGAGCCGCCGCCGGGGCCTTCCTGGCTGTAACCCGCACCAGGTGTCTTCTCCCACAGAGGGACGAGTGGGTTCAAAGCACCCACCTTTCGGCGAACAGCCAAGCACTTAACTACTGCCCCACCCGGCTCCTTGTCTGAGCATCTGCCTGCGGCCACCCATCAACGCCGGCTGGAGCCCGACCACCGCAGGACTGCCTGCCGCGTGGCCGCACGCACGGACCGGTGAGAGATGGTCACCAGCCAACAGAACCACCACCTTCCAGCCTGACACGGCAGACCGCGGAGGCGCAGGTCCAGCCCTGTGAACTGGGCTCATCACGTCTCGGTTCTACTCCCGTGGCTGGCAGGCTCCCCCTTCCCCAGTGAGAAGCCTGGCTACATCCCGGCGGCACCGCCAGCACGGAGCTGGCACACGCCCGCTGCCTGCACAGCCCACGCGCCCGTGCCAGCGAGAGCTGCTGTGACCCCTGGGCTATCACCCAAGGCTGGCTGTCCCCAGCGCTCCGCGGTCTCCCCCGCGCCATGCCGTGCCGGGAACGAGGCGCACACATGGCTGGTGCTGATAAAGCTCTTGTCTCTCGGCTGCACACCCTGCGTGTCGGCTCTGTCCCTGACGCCCTTCGGGGGCACTGAGGGAGGCTGGCAGCAGGCAGGGGGCAGACCCCTTCATGCTCCCTAAGACCGTGTCAGCCTACTGCAATGGCACCATCGCAGCCCGCAGCAGCCGCTGGTCCAGGCCGTTTGGCAGTGCAGCCCCGCCTCCAGAGGGATCATGGCTCCCACCCAAGAAGCTAGTGACAACCACGCGGGGCCCTGTGCGCCCTCAGAGGTCGGAGTCGCAGCCCTGAGAACCCCCATCTCTGCCTTTCACTGCCCAACCCCTCCAGTGGGGCTGCACTCTGCATCCTCCACGCCTGGGTGTCCTTCCACCAGTTCCCTGACGCCTGTGAACCAATCCCCACACAGGCTGCCTCGTAGGCATCGCAGGCTCGGCTTCAGACCACCGCAAGGAAGCGAAAACTGCAATAAAGGGAGTCACACAGATTTTTGGGTTTCCTGGTGCACATAAGTTATGTCTCCCTACACTATAGTCTATTAAGTGTGCAAAAGTATGATGAAAAAGTTTGAAATACTGTGAGAATGACCAAAATGGGGCAGACACACGAAGTGAGCGCATACTGTCGGAAAAATGGCGCCAACAGACTTCTTGACGCAGGGTTGCCATAAACTTTCCACCTGTAAGAATGCACTCGGTGTGAAGTGCAACGAAACGAGGTATGCCTGTATTCACCTGTCTGTGCTCAAACACCTAGCGTCCGTCCATCTCCTTCCAGGGTCCTGTCCTGACCGGCACAAGTGGCCCAGAGCTTCAGCAGTGCCTGCAGCCTAAGAATCGGGTCACATCCTAGGAATGGCAGGCAGTCAGCTGAAAGGGGCCTGGACCCCATCAAGACCACAGAATTGCCACGTCGCAGCTCCCACAGCAGCGTCCGCGTGGGCTGCTTCCTGACTTCTTTATCACGAAAGAGAAATAAATTCCTACGTTGTTGCAGTCACCATTAGCTCAGGGCTTTCTATCGGAAGCAGCTAACTGAAGACTAATGCAGACACCGTACCACCATGTCCATTTGCCTGTGTTCTCTGGATCCGGAAACACCTCCTCACTTCTCTCCGCGAGCTGAAAACGACCCACTCGGCACAAAGCCCAACCTCCCCCACAAGGCTCTTCACCGTCTTCACCTGCTCCTTGAAGGCAGAAGCACTGTCTAGCTGGCAAGTCGCAGGACCCAGTGGCCCCACAGTGTCACTGCTCAATACAGGTGTTCTGAAAATGACAGTCACCACCACCGTGTCCCATGGATACCTGCCTTCTCAAATCCCCAACTGCATTCGGTAACTGGTGTCCTGTATCATGCTCTCCTAGGCTTGGTGGGTTGCGTCTTGGCTCCCTAGTTAGACAGTAAGCTCTCTAAGGGACAGTCGCCCCACTCTCCGTGGCAAGCCACGGGCTTCAGAGTAGCGAGATGTGGATGCAAATCCCACTTCTGCCACTTATGAGCTGTGTATTCAACCACTCAGGCCAGTTACTAAAGCTGACTCTCAAATTCATTCATCTATAAAAAAGGAGGGAGCTCTGGTGGTGTAGTGCCTAAGGCATTTGACTGCTAACCAGAAGGCTGGCGGTTCAAACCCACCAGCCACTCCTTGAAAGGAAGGTTGGGCAATCTACTTCTATAGTGGTACTGTCTCGGAAACCCAAGGAGGGGTTGCTATGAGTCGGATCCAATTCAAGGGCAGTGAGTTTTGTTGCTTGGTTTATAAAAGAGGAATATGCCCCTTAGTTATTAAAATCTTTCATTAAATAAGAAATTAACAATGTATATGTGAACTGCTGTATGAAAAGTGAATTTACTCTGTAAATCTTCACCCAAATCCTAATTAAAAAAAAAAAAAAAAGAATGGTAATAAGAAATTAAATCTGTGGACCAAGAGGATACAACACATTCCAGGATACAGAACAACTCAAGAAAGGTTCTGAATGAGCCAGCGAGCTGTGTGTGTGTTGAGAATAATTACAACAAAGTGCACACCTCGTCAACAGTCTCCACGTGGACAATGCAGTGACAGTGGTCACACCCCTCAAATCGCACGTCACTCTCACCAGACTTTAACAAATTAGCGAATGAATTTTAAAGACTCAAGTCAGACACGAAGAATTCGTCCACGAGCACCCTGATAATGATATCTCGCAAACCAAATGATCAAAGGCGACACCATGGAAAGGGGGCTAGTGCAACACTCAATGCCAAAAGACAGTGATGCACGATGCCTGCAAAGGTCAATGGGGACACCATGGAAAGTGGACTAGTACAATAGTCAATTCCAAAGACGGTGATGGTGACGCACAACGCCTGCAAAGCCCTGAGGAAAACAGTCAACCCAGACCTGTCCCACTCAGCGAACCCTCTCAGGCATGTAAGAATTCAAGGAACACAGCATTGAGACCGCCCCTTCCTTAAACATCTCGGTGATAAAATCTAATCAGTCAATAACAGATCAAAATGTAAAACTTCCCAGAGAGGCTGTGAGGAAGGCTGAGGGCTGAGCGCCAAGTCCTCTCAACTGTAACACTGTGGCACTGATCATTACAGCCACAGAACTAAAGGTAAGTGTTACAAACCCAACCCCCAAAAAAGTGCCACAAAAAACTCCAGGGGGAGGAAGAGGGCAGGAAGTGCGTGTTTACTCATCTTTGACGACAGACAGCATCACCTCGGACTGAAGCAGTCTTGAAAGCGAGTGGCCTCACTGGTCTCCACTAGCCTTTTTCTTAACCATACAACGATGTCCTAGAACTAGAAAGGGCCTCATCTAGCAAGCCTGTGCTCACATCCACCAAGACGGGTCTGGAGCTCCAACACCTAGGACCGAGGGTCACTTCACATGACCCCTCTGCTCTCCTTATGCCTCCCTGCATGGCTTACAAGTACATCCTCTTGGCGACACCCTGGAGCGCAGAGCGGGCAGGCTAGGATTCCTCACAGGCCTGGCAGCAGCTGCTGGGCATGCTCAGTGGGCAGGAGCGGTCAGCCTGGCAAGCGGCACAGGCACCGAGACGTACAGGCGAGCGGTCTGCCGGGAAGCCAGTCATGGCAGGAGCCGGCACACAGCCTCAGGACGCAGCTGGACGCACGGCCCGGAGCTGGCTGTCGTCAGTGCAGTCTACACAGAGACCTGCCGGAGCCCACAGCACAGCCAAGCAGGACACATGTACTGTGGGTCTCGTGGGCCCAGGCTTACAGACAAATGGACCCACGTATCACCGTGGACTGATATACACCACCTCTGCGTGGCCTTCCCCTTGCCCAGAAATCGTACAGAGAACTGTGGACAACAGGAGTGTGTGGACACGGCCCTGTGGACAGGTGAGGTGAACGGTGCTAACGTGTCGGCCTTGTGCGGCTAAAGCCAGGGGAAGCCGCAGGAGGAGCTCCCATCCCCGGACTGGCCGGAGTGCCGAGCAAGCCAACGGGGCAGGCGCTCAGAAAACGCTTCAGCAACTATCTGGCGGGTGCAAGTAGTCTCTTTGTGGTTTC